CCAAGAACGGAGTGATAAATTGCACTCTTCAACTAGAAGAGGAGGTGAATAAGCATTGAGAGCCAAGATCATTTTCTCGCCTATCTTTCGATGCCATTCCGTTCATTCTCATAGTTTCCAATCGATATCTATATCCTCTCTATATATGGGAAACTTATTGAAGATGGATCAGTTCCACATTTTTGGATTGCCTAAAAGCATACGTCTTCTATAAGTAGCGGCTCATTTGTTATAGGGTTCGTCTTATTCTTAATTGAATCAAGATAACAATTAAATTTGTGGAGAACTTTTATTTTTGATTCGCACCAGTATGAAGTTGTAAACAAAAGGCGTACATAAAATGAATCTTCAAAGCTAAAGGAGCAGTTCAGGGAGGGATTATTATATTCAGCAGCTGTGTACGAATAGCAGCCTTTGTGGGACCTTCGTACTAGTTACATGATGAAAAACAAGATGCGATATCTATGTTAGCCTCAAACCAAGGCATTACCATACAATCAGCGCAATAGTAGTGAGCTGCTGGAAAACACAGGTTTCAGAAATCTCCGAGGATGGCAAAAATGTACTTTTATTTTGTATCTATGTTGAATTCGAGATATTTGCTAGGGACTCAGTTCGCCATCAATAGAACAGATTTTTCAGCTCGATAAGATACTAAAAAAGATTACTTTCAAAGTATAGCAGCGCTCTTAGACCTTTTGTACGAATTGCTCTGTGAGGGCTCTCCAATTATCATGTTCTAGCGAGCACGAATGTGCCATGAAAAGACCATGTATGTTATATGGCAACCCAAAGAAAATTTTCCAATTAATCCATGGAAAAGATTGTTTTCGTGGGACGAGCGGGATGGGCGGGAGGCGGCTGCGCTCGGGGCGGGGCCCGACGAATCTGTCGCGACACTCGCAGTGAACGCGTTGTCCAAAATGTGGCAAGTTACCCTCTGTTATGCTGTGTTTATCGTACCGCTAGTCTCTCCAACTACTGAATGGTGGGGTGATCTGCGAGCTCATCTCAATCCAAGCAGAACACCAGCATTCTATGATGTTACCTATGATGAAACAGGTATAGCTTATATCCTGTTTTCCTTTTTTTCACTAAAAATTGCAAAATTTCACCTCTACTTCGACTTTAACATTTTAAGACTTTATATGTTAGATCCTCTCATTGTTTCGATAATTCACTAGGTTAATCTACGATAACTTTTTGGCTGTACCTTTGTGTACCGTACAAAAGAAACTAGATTGACTGTCTCATTCCGTGAGCTCGACTGTATAATAGTTTATGGGAAGAATGAAGGAGGA